TCAGGGGTTGGATTAATAAAAAAAACTTTGTCGATAAATATTATGTTTGTTTTTGTGATTTGTCATCTTTCATGATTTATATATTGATTATTGTATTATGTTATCTATTCGCAGATATAATATTATATGGATTTTCCTTTTTCCTGATCTTTTTGACTTTTTCCCTAATAATAATTAAATCCCATTTATTTTAAATATTAATTTCATTCATATGAGTGCATATGTAGCTTAAATGATCAGGTTCACATGTTTAAACAAGTGTTGAGATATTTCAATGACCTTTCTTAAATAACGGCAGTGTTTCAGACTAAATGAGCAGCGTTAAAAAATAGTTTTTTCTTTGAAAATATTTTTTTGATGATTCAAATTAGAGAAAGCACTTGCTGGACTGCATGTGCTATTTTGTTATTTATTAATTTTTTAATATTTGTGATACGTTGATACGTGAATCATCAATTAAAAAACCCATGATTACCGACACTAAACTGCTAAAATGTGAAAGATTAATTACCGTAATCCTTGGCAGCAGCAGGGTCAACATAGGGGTCAGCATAAGCTGGACGAGCCGGTCGCACGGGACGAGTTTCTGTAAAGAAAATTAACCTGATATATTATTTGATCTTCATTCAGATTATCTTGTTATACACAAAAACAATTTTTACAAAATTTTAGTATTCTTGACTCTTAGGTCAAAAATTAAGAGAAACCACAATAGAGACACTAAATGTCAAATTGTACACAAAAAAAAAAAAAAACTTCAAATAATAATTAATTATTGAAAAAAAGCAACATTGAGGTTACTAATTGATTCTATGGTTAAATAATGTGTGCTATTCATTCTTTGGTGACTGAAGAAAATATTTAGAGCTCGTTACCTCCTGGGTATTCCCGACTGTATGATGGTTGTTGTGCGCTCCTCTCATACGCATCAGCACGAGGTGGGTATTCACGTTCCTCATACCCACCAGCGGCATAGCCTCGAGAGGCAGTCGCTGGCTCGCGTCGAGCAGCTGGGTATGGATCTCGCTCAGCAGCAGGCTCAGCGTAGCTTCCACGTGATGCATACGGGTCTCTGTAATCATAGATGGTTTCAAGTAGTTAGAAATACAGTACAAAATCGTTTGTTTTTTTACTTTTTTCCATAACCACCACAAAAAAAAAGTCAAATGCAGCAAAATCCAAGACAATCAACCATACACAAGATAGTACATTAGAAAGTGTAAAAAAAAAAAAAAAAAAATGTGTAGCAATATTGAAGGAATAAGAAGAACAGTGGCAAGGATAAAATTGAGTGGAAGTTAATGAGCACCTACCTTTCACGTGGTGGGTAATCTCGAGGAGCTTCCCTGGCAGCTGGGTAACCTCTTGCAACAGCAGGCTCTCGTGCAAGCCTATCACGGGACGGACCAAGCTCAGGCCGTGCATCTCCATATTCATACCTACTAGGGGCTCGGCCTGCAAAGATGAAAACAAAACATCAATTCCTGCTTTTCCTATGAATTAGCATTAACCTATATTTCTTGATCACAAAGTTACTTGCCTAATACTGAATCCCGTGGTTGACCTGGATCGCGGGCATGTACAGGGTCGCGTGGTGGAAGTTCTGCACGGCTGTCACCATATTCTCTTGCAGGAGAGCGGCCTATAACAACAATTATTTGCAAATTATTAAAAGTGTACAACACACAGGAAATTAATTATTGTGTTATTCTATTTGACAATAAATCATACAATGGGTTGCATTATATAGGTTTGTAATGTAGTTATACAATATAAATCTCAGATATGAAGTACCACTGATTCAAAATTTAAAAATCAATAAAACATATTATATTATATATAATTTCTTACCATATAATGAGTGTTTAGAAGGTCTTTCAGGAATATAATCTGGAGCTCTGTGGTTACCTACAATAAAAAAAATTATTAAAACACTTTTAAGTATATTTTATCAATATTCACACTATTATAAGACCAAAATAAAAATATGTGTTGCCCTCCGCGACCGTCCGAAATTTTCCAAAAAATCGGGTCGGCATTTTCTTTTTTAATAATGGCTATGCTCAGACACCACGGCTTACGCTAGCGTATCGTTAATTGAGTGGTGTGAATTTGGGTGCGGCGTAGCGAACGCTAGTAATATCGCGCAATCACTGGTGTACGGTAATCCAGCAACAGATCCCAGATTATCGTACGCCACTGATTTACGACAGTCACGCATCAGTAATTTTGATATCAGCCAGGATTTGACCAATCAAAATACGCCTGTAAACAGAAAATTAAGTGCACGAATTACGAATATTTTGCTCGAATACTTACGCTAGCGTTCATTAATCGCCCAGTCTGGACATCTTGCTAGTTACGCCATGGATTAACGTATGCCCGGCGTTAGATACGCCTGGCGTATCTCTCAGGTCTGAACGTAGCCAATTTTGTTCAAAGGCCTTCCATTCATTTAATTACAAATTTAAAAAAATATTATTTCAATATATACTTGGTTAGTATTTATTCGTCATTACTTTGAATATATTTTGTTTGGCATGCTTGGCATTTACTGTGGTGACTTGTAGCCAAAAACTGTAAGCACCTCTTTACGGCTGCTGGGTAGTCCAAGACCACGGCAATATGCAATTCAGCACAATGATGCTGCGATTTTAGGTTATTCTCCTATCTTTAATTTGTAGAGTTCCCTGATAATGACATGTGTTTTTACAGGGTACTTATTTATTTTCTTAACTACATTTCCAAATGGATAACTCTTAAGAAAAGCTAACTTGACTTCAGAAGCATTGACAATATTCTCAATACAAAAGCAAACATATATATATCAATATTACCATAGCCATTTTCTTCTTGCGCATAACCTCCTCTTGCAGGAGGATACTCTTCAACAGCCTGGTCAGGGTACGAAGGTTCTAAATAGAAATTAAATCATATTATCTTATCTGACAAAAAAACATGTTTCAAATGCTCAACATGCAACAACAAAAATTATTGTATTTATAAATTAACATTTGTTGGTATTAGGAACATGCAACACAACCAACAAGGTGGTGACGCTTAGTGAAGGGTTCAGCATTTGTCCTTGAGAAAGGAACTATGTCTGCACCACATTTTGCCCAATAAACTAATAGGGAACCTCATATAAATGATTACAATGTGACATATGACATGTCATAGTTGATTGAAGCTCTTAGCAGCGTTCTGCAACTACTGTGCTGAAGAAGCTTAATTTCCAAGATACCAAAGGGTCAGATAATGGAACAGTTACACCCCGACAGAATCTTACAAAGCAGATGACAAATGATTGATTTTGCATCAAATCATAGGGATTAACAACATCAATCTACTAATGCATACATTAGAATTTATTATTATTGTTCTTAAAAACTTACCTGGTCTGCTTCTTTTCATTGGCGGACCATACTCATCATCTACGTAACGACGTGGAGTGGACAAAAGAGCTGTTAATAGTACATATGGAGAAGTGTGTTCAAAAGAAAAGTAGATAAAAAGGATATAAAATTTGTTCATGATACAATTATTCTCCTAAGTTTCTTTAGTATTTAAGTTCTGTTAGTTTTACCTCTATCTCCTCCAGGTCTTTGTGCAGGAGGACCGTAGTTATCTTCATATCCACCTCGAGACCTGCCAGGCCTCATTTCAGCATCATGATCCAATAGACTTGGCGGCAACGGCCTGCCGTTTGGGCCACCAGGAAAAGGCCTAGGTTCCGATCTGGGCCCCATGGGCCTTGGACCATTAGATCTTGGTGATCCTGCTCCTCCCCTACCACGCATCATCATTGATCGACCATCACCAAGAAGTCCGCCTCTGCCTCTTGGAGCTCCACGCGAGGAACCACCACGTGGGGGTCCACCACGCGGGGGTCCACCACGCGGCGGGCCACTTAGGCCCCTTCTCATGAGTGGGGGAGGATGTCCTCTTCCACTACTGTTAAAATAAAAATCAACTCTCGTGTCTCAATATTTATTGGTCTACCCATTCATCCTCACGTTTTTCTTTTTTTTTTTAAATTTTTTTAGTGAAATAAAAATAATTAAATATAATTTTTTCTGTTGGAGTAATACAAATTCCTTTGATTAGAATTGAAAGATAATAAAATGTTTTTCCTAAATAAGTGGTTATTTAGGAATTATTTAAATAATTTTTTAGGCCCTGTTTATCAATAATTTTGAAAAAAAAAAGATTAAAAATACTAATTCAACAGTCAGAATAAATAAATGCATCTTCAAATCAGCACAAATTATTCCTTTACAAAATAAAACTAAATTTGTAATTTTTGATCAAAAAATTTCACCTCAAGGGGGGCCTAAGCCAATTCCCCTAGGCCTACGAGCCGGTTTAGTCACCTTCACTGCACTACGCACCGTAGCCTGAAAAAGCCTAACTTACCCCGCGACATAAAATCCATAAATCAATTATTCGCCTAGCGTCCATACAAAGACATGGGAAAACGCACCTATAATCTTTCAAAAATCCGGTTGGTATAAAAAAAAAATTATAATATGAAAAATTACGATAATATAGGCGATCAAGGTGTCATTTTCGAACTCTTGACAAGATGGATCTCAACGTCATGATTGCGCATGTCACAGGGAAACCAAAAAGTTCGAAAGTTCAACGGCCATGTCAGGGTTCGTTTTCATTTTTGTAAACAACCAAGATGGCGCTGACGAAGTTGATAGCCACGTTTTTTTTTCAGCCACAAAAAAACATTAATTTTACGTGGAAATATGAGGATATAATAACCAAAACTGGTACAGTATATATATTGAATATATATTTATATTATAGGAAAGTATCAGATTTGTTACTTTTTGAAAAAAAGTGTATTTTTAGACGATTTTATTCATCAGTGTTGACGGCGGCGCCTTCCCGTTCAAGGGTATCATATTACAAAAATAACGATCATATTTCATATTTTTAATTACTCTAATCATTCAAGTTAATTAAAAAAGCACCAAGAAACATTTTTTTATAAAAATTTTTGATATTTTCTCAAATATTTAATGAAAATACATGCACACATTACTGCACATACGTTTTTTTTTTAATTATTAGATAAAAAGGATATAAAATTTGTTCATGATACAATTATTCTCCTAAGTTTCTTTAGTATTTAAGTTCTGTTAGTTTTACCTCTATCTCCTCCAGGTCTTTGTGCAGGAGGACCGTAGTTATCTTCATATCCACCTCGAGACCTGCCAGGCCTCATTTCAGCATCATGATCCAATAGACTTGGCGGCAACGGCCTGCCGTTTGGGCCACCAGGAAAAGGCCTAGGTTCCGATCTGGGCCCCATGGGCCTTGGACCATTAGATCTTGGTGATCCTGCTCCTCCCCTACCACGCATCATCATTGATCGACCATCACCAAGAAGTCCGCCTCTGCCTCTTGGAGCTCCACGCGAGGAACCACCACGTGGGGGTCCACCACGCGGGGGTCCACCACGCGGCGGGCCACTTAGGCCCCTTCTCATGAGTGGGGGAGGATGTCCTCTTCCACTACTGTTAAAATAAAAATCAACTCTCATGTCTCAATATTTATTGGTCTTTAATTCATCATTAAAAAAAAAAATGGTTAGAAAAATTTGAAAATTAAATATAGTTCAGAATTGCATACAGCATAATCATTAATAATACTTACAATCCCCCTCGTGGTGGTCCACCTCTGCCCATAGACCCACCTCGTCCACCCCTTCCTCGACTTCCAGCATCATGTGTATGGAGAGCCTTCAGAGCGTTGTCTACTTTCAGTGGTTTTCCATCCAGTACCTAAAGAAATATTTATTTCTGCTGTTATTTTATACGCAAATTTTATGTTTTGTAGGTTCTTAATGTTGTAATAATATCTCCTCCTAACATTTATTGATAATAATCTATATATCTAATAAAAATATAAATTAAATAACGGATGTTAAAAACATATCTTTAATGAATCTAGAAAACATCTTTTAATAATTAATAAGAGACATAATTATTCATCGTAAGAAAACTCAGAAGAAACAACTGTAGGTAACGTGCCTTTCCAAAGGGCACAGGCAAAATTCTTAATGAAGATTTGAAATAGAGTTAATCTCAACCGGGGCGCTGTTCGACTGAAATATTCACCATTTTATTTTTTTTTAAACAGCGGCACCAACGCTTTACAACTTTTCACTGGAGACATCCAGCTGCCTAGCCTGAGCATCAGCTGGCAACAAACAAAGCACTGCGCAGCGAATAGCGCCGCTAGACCTCTGTCGTAGCAGCCAAAAGATACAATCTTTTGCTACAGTGATTTCTATATGTAAACATTGCAATAGCTTTTTAATTAGACTTTTAATATAAACATTTTGTTCTTTTTCTGTTTTAAAATACTTAAGTGCTTGTTAGTAATTTAGTTTTATCGCTTAATTAACCCATGATGGTACCTACTTAGAGTGAAATGCTAGGCCTCAAGGTAGTCCCCAGTGGAAGTTTTATTTCATTTCTTTAGGCACGACCGCCAAGGATATGCCAATAAGTGAACTTAATCACTGTCCTACGTGGCATATCCATTTAACAACAGGGGACTTAATGGACCAGTACACCAGGGTAACCTACTCTTCTTGAATAATGTACTCGGCCCATGAATTTCACGTCGGCAACCGGTAATTGCTGACCATATTGCCCAGCCAGAATTGCTACAGGACAGCAATTTTTTGCTGACCTAGGCCTAGATTTCTTTACTTCAAAAACTGCTTGGAAAGTCAAAAACTGACTAAAACAAGCTATAATAGCAGACACTAAATTTCATGTACGTCGTCAAACCAAAGAAACTGGTGGTTCATAAAACAGATTTGTTTGTACAGTAACTATTTGAAATAGGCATGCAGTACGTATGATTTGTGTACAATTGTCTTGTCTTTTCTCGCCTAGTCGTTTCATAGGCTAGGCCTATGTAGGAATGACACTAGCCAGCCAAGGCCTATAACATCGTTCAATTGAAGCCACGTGGGTCACGCAGGTCGTAATGCTTATCTAAATCATTATTTGTTTTTCATTTATCTAAAAACAACAAAATTCAACATATTGGAGGCCTAATCCTACTGCCCGTTTTTAACACAATCATGATCGCATCGTGACTTCACTACTGACAAGTACTGTACATGAGTGGAAATCCCTGATAGATCATTCTGGGCATGTGCATGGACATGCATGGGCAGTTTTGAAGCAGCCTGTGATGATACGATAGTAGCTTTTACGAAAGTGATATTTCCTAAGCCAAATCTAATGATAAAACGAACACTAAAACGAAATTTATTCCGCGATTTTCTTATGTAAAACATATTATATCATTATTATATTACACTATTAAATTAATACAAGTACGACCATTCTTTCACCAGCAATATACTGATTTAATAGAAAAAATTTAAAAATCACAATCTGTAGATGACGAGGTAAGGTCGAGCGTTCGGAAAAACTGTAGTTTTATTTATTTCATTTCAACAGACCAACAGCGAATCATCGCCACTAACAGGCTGGTAAAATATATAAAATTTTAATATATCAAATATACAGACGAAACAGTACAAAAATCTCACCTATTTAAATGATTAATAATAATAGAACGTAATATAGACAAACTATTGTGAAAAATGTCAATATGGGTTAAAATAAGAGAATTATATTGAAGAGAAGTCTAGAAATAAAACTACTGTACGTTTACAGTTTATAATATATAGGCGTAACAGTTGGTAGCAAAAAATTGCCGAGGCTGCCGACCTTTAAGGTCGGCAACTTTTTGCCGACCTAATTTTTTCCAAATTTCATGGCTGTGTACCGGGTTCACGAGAATAATACGTACACTGGGCCTACGGTTTAAAGTCCTTATCCGAGAAGACTTGTTCCACCACCAGAACCATTGGCGAGTGAGTCGTTCGAACCAGCGCCGATATTAGAGCTGAAGGTTACTAGGTTGCTAGGTTCTCAGAAATTTTTATTTCAAATTTGGTGAAAATGGTGTATAATAGGCATGACGATGTCATATGGGACACCGCTTTATTTTTACTATAAAAATTGAAGGGATTATGTCCAGGGTTCTCACCACAGTGGTTGGCGCTGGACGGCCCCGACCACCACTTAAAATTTCCGACCACCACTCCCATACTGCCGACCACCACTATTTTTGCAATTGATAGTTGAGAAAAACAATGTAACAAAATACTTTCGTTACATGACTACAGTAGGGAGTTGTGATTAACAACTCAGTGTCTAGACAATGAACATGCTAGCTACATTAGATAAGATATCAATTAACGTCTCCGTGGTTACGTTAATTTGAAACCCTACTACCTTACTAAGGCCTAGCTGTAAGCTTATACTGTTCTGTCTGTAGGCCTAGCATTGTTTGTTCAGTTCAAATCGTGTCCGCTCAAGCCGAACGAATAGCAATTATTTAACATCGTCGACAATATTGTAATATTATTTATTTCTAGGACGACTTCAACAAATCACAATGGGCCTATAAACTTGTATATGTTCCGTCTTCTTTATTTTAGCGTTTATCATCAACGTTTATTTAAACACTCCGATCACAACACCTCATCCACGATACGTCCATTACACAACATGCATTTCGCTCTATCTACAGTGTAGCATGTTTTTTTTTTTCATCTGCTGGTGTTGCCAGATGAATTCCTTGCCAGATACACAGAAATTTTAAATGCCCAATTTCTACACACAGCTTTAATTATTATTACTATATATTATTAATATCTTATATAAAGCACAGTATAGCACTTTAACTACAGTACATTACTCAATCAAGGAATAAGACACAACAACGACGAAGTTAACTCTGATATGTCTGAAATTTAATCTATCTTTAGAGATCCCGCCACACGCAGCCAGCGCACTCTCCAATCACATGTTAAAAACAAAGTAGTACTTTCTTGGGTGGTGGCGCAAGCCTCTCTCCTTTCCTAGTACTACTATCATATTAATCCGCGATAGTCGCTAGAGCATGCAGCAATGCACGATGCGCTCGTGTACAGTAGTACTGCAAGCGGTGACGACATATTTTGGTAATACATTTTCAAAACTGTACCTGCTATATTGACCATGAAAATATTTTACAAGAAGTAAGTCATCACAAATAATACTATTAATCAATTTAGGCCTGTACTTTGTAGGCCTAGGCTAGAGGCCGAAGCTACGTTAAGGGCTAGGCCCTAGGCCTACTGAACTGAATAGGCCTTCCTAGCTAGGCCTAGTTCACCTACCACTACGATTTTTGGCTTGGCCTAAAATTTGGGTGGCGAGTTAGGCTTGTCACCCCACCCCCGTCGACGTCCACCCCCGCGGTCGGGGGTTCCCGGGGGTCGGGGTGGGCCTGGTCGCCGACCACCACTCCTAACATGCTGGTGAGAACCCTGTATGTCAGTTTGAGAAAGTTAAAAACATGGTTTTCATGTAACTATATCACCAAGGAAATGGCTATTTTGTATATAAATTTAGCTTTATAAACTACATTTTTAATCTTTCTAAACAACTTACAAATCCATTCATTTCTTTGACTGCAGCATCAGCGGCAGCAGGATTTTCAAATGTCACAAATCCAAACCCTCTGGAAACCTCAGTCTCTCTGTTTTTCACGAGCAGTACTTCAGAAATCTTGCCAAACTTCGAAAACTTTGCTTTAATTGCTCCTTCGGTGGTTTCAATGGCCAAACCACCTACAAACACCTTGCCGGGTCGATCCTTTTCTGCTGGTGGCATTTTGCTTGATAAAATATGGAAAGATTAATCACAATCATTAAAATGTCTGTCATGTGCTAAAAGAATGAGAAAAAATTAACAGCCAATGAAACAATAAATGTTTGCTGTATTCTTTTCTATAAACCATTTGGTTGGCACGGCAATAAAGAATATTTGTAGAAAAATGTCAGCGAAAAACTGATTTTACTCCTGCAATCTGTTCCTGGTTCAAGTTAATCTAGGCTAGGCCTAGTATTTAATCAAAATTAGCATTATTCAAATTTCCTTTACATAAATAATAATAATTCTAAATTATACATCAATCGATTACTGTAAATAATAATATAAGTTCAGCTTGGCTGCGATGTATTTTTATCCAGAAAATCAGGAAATCAAGTGTGTCTTAATATTACTTACATATACATTTAGCCTTATTAAAAAAAAATTTTTTTTTAATTTTACGATAAAAATGTATGTCACAGACAGGACAAAATTTGGACATGACTCTCAGAAAGGTTTACATATTCTAATATTTCTCCTCATCTAAAAGAGATATTAAATAATTTTTTGTTAAAAACTATTCCCAGATGATTGTTTTACATGCCTAAGTACTTACCAAAAATAACTAATTTTATGAAAAAATATGAAATAACTGTCACGGACGGGACACTTTTGTCCAATGAAAGAAAAACCATACTTTTCAATATAATAAGAGTATAACAATTATTCTCTGATATCAATGTAACAACTTACTTGCATTGCTACCTTTGTTACTCTAATTCAGTAGCAAGAAACATGTATTGCGGTAATTTTTTAAGTGTCCCGTCTGTGACAAAATTGGCTTTTCTGTGACAAAAACTGTCCCATCTGTGACAAAATTGGTTTGTCTGTGACAAAAACTGTCCCGTCCATGACAATTTGTTTTTGAAATCTTATATTTTTTTCAGGTTAAACAAAAAATTATCTAAAAATTGGTTGATAAAATATTTATTAAGATAGTCTGTAGTAGGAGAAAATTGAATAATTAATATTTCATGGCATTACTTTCCTAATGAATGTAAAAAAACATCCTCAATCAAACAAATGTCACGGACGGGACAATTATGAATTTTAAATTTGATGTGTAGGCCCTAAGTATGAAATTAATAACAAATTTCAACCAAAACCATGATTTTGTAGTAGAGAAAGTACAAGGTAACTGTGTCTGCACCAAAGGTAAGAATATAGAGTTAAGGAGGGAGCTGATTCCAGGCCTAGACCCTAGGCTCCTTTAACGCTTTCCTTTTTCCTTGCATTCTATTTAAATTTTGTCCCGCTGACAAGGTAGCCCGGGCGCGTCACGTCTGACGGCAATCAACCACGCGACGAACAAACACATCCAACCAAGAAGCGTCAATAAAATCTTCAGTAGTAGTAACCGTATTCCGTAAACCAACAATACATCATATTGTAATGGTAAACTGTTTTACATTTAACCTATTACTGACAAATCTTCTCAAGGTTTACACTTTTAAACAGTAGTAAGTGAAAAGGAAACTACTTACCAATTCGTATAACGACTTAGCCAAACGAAATCTACAGAGAGAAAGAAAAAAAGGAAGAGAAAGACACGCAGTTTGACCTGATCTGAAGCTTGTAATTAAAGAAACTTGCGGACCTTTGGCGTACTCACAAAAAACCTCAACTAGGTCTAGGCCTAAGCTAGGCCTACTATTTAATCAAAATTAGCATTATTCAAATTTCCTTTACATAAATTATAAAAAATAATTCTAAATTATACATCAATCGATAACTGTAAATAATAAGTTGTGCTTAATGTGGTGTCCCGAACTAGAGGTTCTATAATTAGTACAACCACATGAAGAGCCCTCTTGCTCTCTGTTTAAGCATCGCGATCGCGTTCTTGATGATTTGTGTTTTAATTCAAGGTAGCCTTACATTTTTTTAAAATTTCCAATA